TAGGCCCAACCCCCCGGGGAGCGGGCCTAAGCCAGCAGGTGGTCATCCCCCAAGGGGTCCCAGACTACGAGAGGGCACAGGCTGGGCTGAGGGACTCCCCCCGCCCTGAGTGTACAAATTTTTGTGCACCGGGCCTCTAGTCATTATGTAAAATAGTGAAAACATCCTTTCAAAGATTCTACTATCCAATTTTCCTTTGTTGTCCCAGATCAACAACTGTGTATCTCACTCCATGCTGGGAATGAACATCATTACCTTCTCAGACTCAAGCATATAATGAGAATGATAACAAACTTCTCTTAAAACTTGCTGTTTATACCTAGGGTGGAGAATCATCCCAAATGGTTATACATTTTCAGACACAGACACCTGAAAGCTGCACTACAAGGCTGATTTGTGAGGTGAAGTATCTGAGCAAGTAAATACACTTGGGCAGAAGAAAAGGTGAGTAAGGTAAAGAAACAACTCAGGGTTGTTGGTGTGGAGTTGAGACATATCAGATGGGGAGATGGGTAAATACATAAGATTAATTTGAATGAAATGGCAATAAAGAATGAGCTAATAGCAAAAGTACCAGTTGCAGGTAGAAATTTGAGACTTAAATAGGTAGGGGGAGGGTCCTGGCAGAGTCACAAAAAGCCTGCCAATTCATATTTCAATGACGCAACATGACTGAAAAATAGTTCTTTGTTCAGCATTTTATAAGAAAATCACGTGTTATATTTTCTGCAAATACAATAACTTGTAAAGTTCTCAGACACATCCTTTACAACTCTCATAGGTTGGCCAGTTAGTATAGTACACAGTACAAACTCAGTTAAGTGTTGGCTGTGCAAATTTATAATAGAGTGTGTACATATTTGTTTAGGAATTACTTCAAGGTTAAAAGGTATTGACTTTTAGTTTATGCCAGGTTTGAAGATTCATTTCATTCCTAAGCAAACTTTTTAAAGTAAAAACAAACAAGACTTCCTTAAAATGGAGTCTGATTTAAATGGTAGATTTAAGTAGTAACTGTCCCCTAACCACTCAGCTCACGATAGCTACAAGGCAATGGGTAACCAAGTTTTCTTCAACCTACAACCTAATTAGCTCCTAAGTGGTAGAAACAAATTTAGGATAGGTCTAAAGAAACTCATTTTAGGAGAGGGCCAACTTCTATGCAGATCAAAAATTAACTATTAGAGAAAAAATCCTATCAATCACAATATATTGGGCCAATTTAAACACCATGATCAATAGTAAAAATTCCTAAGTCTTACTAGATGCTGCTCCACCCATGCCAGGGAATATTAATCCAAATCCCAAAGTTATACCACCAAATGTTGCAGCCAAAATTGTTGGGTCATACACTGCAGAGAAGAACATAATATTACCTATTATACTTTTAATAAAAAAGTGAGAAATTTATATAGTCTTTTTCATCTGAAGAGACCTTTAGAAGCTTTTGGCTAAACTCAAAAAACTATAGTCAATCCATTTATATGAAATATCCAAAAAAGGCAAATCTATGGATATAGAAAATAGATTAACTAATGTCTGGGGATGAGCAATCTTATTGGGGTGATACAAATGTTCTAAAACTGGATTATAGTGAGAATTACACAATCAATAAATATTAAAAACACTGAATTATACACTTAAATTAATTTTATATGTAGTTATACTTCATTAAAATTAAGTTTTAAAAGTAGAGTGGTCGAGATTTCATTTTATAGGCAAAGGCACCAAAGACAGAAAGGAGAAAAGCCTGTTAAAGGTAACAGGGAAAGTCTTTGATTGAAAATGGAATTCATTCAATAATTTTAACTCCCAAATTCAGATATGGTGATATTCAAGAAATCTATTGTTGTTGAGAGGGATATTGCTTACATATATCAAAAGCTTTTGAGAATCTCAGTCATGTCTCAAAATTGGAAGTCTACTTTGTAGAAAACACAACTCAAATGGTAACCAACAATTTTAACTAATGTTTATCTATGCCAGTTGCACAAGAGGCCACTATAGGGATAGTACGCCACGATTTTTTCATGCTTGACGAGGCATCAGCAATTTCTGGCAAGTTTTATTCCTGGGAATGGTGACAATCTTGTTATAATAGGACTTTGGGGAAAACATATTACAGCTAGGACTACAATAACAAAAACTAATGATGAACATCATGGCCCTGGGAAGATGCCTCAAAAGCACAGTCAGCTTATTGACCTATAAAAAAGAATTGCCTGACATATATATGGAGTTCAATATTCTCAACATTTGCTATTACTCTATTAATGGATGATGTGTAGCAAAGATGTTGGGATTACGAGATAATTAATGTCTCACTTTTCAGCTCAAAGAGTCCAGATGTTACCTTCAAAAGGAGAGGCCATGAGACACCACACAGTGTCAATTAAAACCCCAAACCACAGCTGATCCTTTTGTCATATAACACTTCTGATAGGTAAAAAGTAAAGACCATAAACCTGGTCTATATAGAATACACTATAGCAAGGCTCCAACATTTATTTTCTTATGTTATCGTACTCACATGGATAATAAGGCTTCTTCCCTTTAGACATGCTTGGCAATACGCCCAACTCTTCCTATTCACATTAGCTGCAAGAAGTTGATTTTAGACATTATGATGTTAATGAATTATATGCTTAAATGATCACTTTAAGCTGTAATAATGTTAATATAAAATTCACAACTAATTTTAAATTCACAGCAATTCAGTTCTTTAAGAAAGCTACTATTGATATTAGCAGTTACAGATGGGGCCAAGTATAATGATAATTTATAAGATGCAGGGGATCCATATTTACATTAGAAAATTGAGTTAAGTGGCCTGATGCAAAATAATATTTTCTTTGTAACCAGTAACTTACATGAGAACCAAGTAGCAGCAGAAGTGGAAAAATTTGATATTGATGTATACAGCATGGTGCTCGAACTAGTAGTGTCAACAGTAGATGCTGGAGTCAAACCTTAAAAAACAAGTAAAAATCATACAAATATGTCACATTGAAAACTACAAGACATTGTTGAAGGAAATTAAAGAACACACAAAGAAATGAAGAGATATTTCATGTTTATGGATTGGAAGAATTAACATTGTCACAATGTCCATATTACCTAATGCAACCTATTGATTCAATGCAATCCCTATCAAAATCCCAATGCCATTTTTCACAGAAATAGAACAAAAAAATTCTCTAATTTGTATGGAATCATAAAAGGTCCCAAATAGCAAAAGCAATCCTGAAAAAAAAAAAAAAAACCAACACAACAAAAAGAACTAATAACAAAAGCAGAAGTATCCCCAGTGTGGTATTCACAGAAAAATAGACACACAGACCAATGGAACAGAATTGAGAATCCAGAAATAAACCTACACATAAATAAGCAACTAATTTACAACAAAGGAGCCATGAATATGCAATGGAGAAAGAAAAGTCTCTTCAATAAAATGGTGTTGGGGAAATTGGACAGCCAGAAGCAAAAGAATGAAACCAGACCATTATCTTAGACTATACATAAAACATAATTTTTAAAACACAATTATAACAAGATTCATTTATATGCAGAAATAAAAATAAAAAGAAGGAAAACTGGCTACTCTGAAATGTAATGAATGTGACATAGTGAAAGCATGGTTAAAAATATAGTTTGTGGGTCACAGGAGAACACTAACTGTGCGACCCAGAGCAACCAGGAGCCTGCTCCATTCCGAGCCCCAGGACTTGCTGCCAGGGTGGCCTGAGCAACCCAGCACAGGCCACAGGGAGCACTGACTTTGCGACCCACAGCAACTCAGCGCCCACTCCACCTCAAACCCCGGGAGTTGCTGCTGAAGCAACCTGGAGCAACTCAGAACACCCCACTCTGGCCTGGAACAGTGCTGCTGGGGTGACGCAGAGCAACCTGACATGTGCCCCACTCTGGGTCACAGGACAGTGCAGCCGAGGCAACCTAGAGCAACCCAGTGTGCCCAGCCATGGGCCACAGGACCACGTTGCAAGTGCACTGCCAGTGGTACCTAGGGCGCCAGCCTTCAGCAGGTGCCAGGGCCTCACAGTGAATTGCATGCCAGAGGGCTTTGGGTCCTCAAAGGGAGTTGCACAATAGAGGAACTTTACACATGCCCCCACCACCCCGAGCACCTGAAGCGGATAACTGAGGGACCGGATCTGTGGGAGAAGGGGATACAACTCAGAGCAGAGACAATAAAGGTGTGAGACTCAAGGCAGACCCAACCTCTGGGATGATGATTTCTGAAGCATTGGACCGATAGGGTCTTCAACCTCTCAGGCTCCAAGCAGGGTGCGCAAGACCAGAAAGAGAAAGCAAAATGAGGAGACAAAGAAACAACCCCCAAAGGAAAGGAAAGGGGGAAATCACTGGAAAAGGAACTAAATAAAATGGAGGCAAGCAATATGTCAGAGAAAGAATTCAGAGTAATGGTTATAAAGATGCTCAACCACCTGGATGAGATAATCACCAATATGTGTAGGAATCAAGAGAAAATAAAGAATGACATAGCTAAAATTACAACATAAAAAAAAGGTTTCAATAGAGGACTAGAAGAAGCAGAGGATCAAATCAGCAAGTTAAAAGATAGGGTAGAAAAAACACCCAATCTGAACAGCAATTGGAAAAAAAAAATTAAAAAGCAGGAGGATAGTTTAAGGGAGCTTTGGGAATACATGAAATGAAGCAACATCTGCCTAATGGGGGTGCCAGAAGGACAAGAAGAGGAGCAAGGATTAGAAAACCTATTTGAAGAAGTAATGACATAAAATTTCCCTGACTTGGGAAAAGTAAAGGTCACACAAGCAAAGAGAGTCCCAAAATAGATGAACCCAAAAAAACCCACATCAAGACACATCATAATTACAGCAGCTAATATTAATGACAAAGAAAAAATATTAAGAGCTGCAAGAAAGAGACAGAAAGTTACCTACAAGGGATCTCTCATTAGACTATCAAATGATTTCTCAACAGAAACACTTCAGGCCAAAAGAGAATGGAATGAAGTATACAAAGTGATACAAAGTAAGGGACTAAATCCAAGAATACTTGATCCAGCAAGGCTATCTATCATTCCAAATTGAAGGGGAAATCAGGAGTTCTGCAGGTGAAAAAAGGCTAAGGGAGTTTATTACCACCAAGCCAGAAATGAAAGAAATGCTAAAATGATGGTTGTAAAAAGAATAAATAGAAAGGGAAGAAGAAACAGAAGTATAAAGAATAAAATGATGAAACCAAGATGGCAGCATAGGTTAACGCCGGAGATTGCTGCCTCGAACAACCAATTCAGGGATACACCTAGAAGACGGAACGGACATCATCCAGAACCACAGGAGGGTTGGCCGAGTGGAAATTCTGCAACTAGGAGGAAAGAGAATATCATATCCAGACTCAGAGGAGGCGCAGTGCTGAAGTGAAATACTTAGGTGCGGAGTGCACGTGGAGCGGGCTGGTGGCTGAGGGTGCGGTTGGTGTTTCCAATCGGGAGGGAGTCTCAGATTGTGAGCTCCAGATCCGGGCCAGTCTCTAGGGAACCAGACTCAAACGGGAGAAGCGGGACTGTCTGGCAAATTTACCCAATTTTAATGATGAAAATATTGATACAATGACTGAATCTAGTCAAGTCCTTTGATTCAATATGCTAGTTGTTCATGGATGCAAAATGTGACTTAAGGTTTAGATGTGGTTTTGGTTTCATTCCAACTGTGCAATCCCTGACCACCATTTTGTCTGAAAAACACTTACATGCACAAGTAGG